GAAAAACAGAAGAGTAAGCAGCATGGTGTTGAAGTCTGGGCTGGTCCTAGGTTTGCAATCTGGTACAGCCACGAAGCTGTGTGCCCTGGGGTGTGTCCTGAACCCTCTCTGCACCTCAGTCTGCTCAAGTGAAAAATGGACCTAATAACCCCCCCACCGCAGGGCTGCAGGGGGAGAAAGGACAAAAATGTATGCCAACCCCAAGCACGCAGCCCTCACCAAACAGACAAGGGAGGGGACAGATCAGAGAGCGGGGACAGGAGGACAAACCAACAGGGCTGATCCTTTGAGTGAGGGGAGGGACTCTACAGACCTCAAGTCACACCAGGCTGGGCCGTCTTTTCTGCTTAAATGGAGGGGATCCACTTAAACGGTACTTAGGACAGAGAAACAGAGACCTGCGGAAGGGGCAGGAAAGAGCAATCCAAGTTCAATTACATACAGTGAGACCAAGTTTGCTCCCCCCCTCCCCCCAGCAGGAACAGACTTGCCCTTAATGAGTTGCTTTGCCTTCAGCCTTCCCTGTGCTGTGACTTTACTTGACCTCTACCTCTTGCAGTCTCACCAAGGTTCTATTTCCCTGTCTCTATTTATTATTCAAAATAGAAGCTGTTCTCCTTGAGAATTTTCAGGGCTGTAATCAAATCCTGCTAAAAGGAAAGGAAAGAAAAAAAAAAAAGACTCCAGCATGCTCTCATTCACGTCTTATACCAGAGGGAGAAAAAAATAATGAGCGAGTCCTAAAAATACTTACATTCAAAAAAAGAAAAGGAAAAAAATTCAACCCTTAATCCCAAACTCCTTCTCCTTAAAATAAGTGACTTAGCTTAAATGTCTGTAATATCATAAAAAGATACCAGAGAGGAAATTGTCCCTGTGCCTATCTTTTTAAAAAAATTCTTATTTGGTCCATGGAGTCATCCTCTGTTCTGTGAAGATGAAGTTCTCACTTAGCCAACATTCACTGAGCACCTACAATGTGCCGAGCACGTGCTGGGCACTGGGGACTCAGCGATGAAAACTGGAGCCCTCACCACGTGCCCGGCACCGAGCGGCTTTACCTGCAGCATCACACGGAGCCACCTGAGCGGCTGGTGCCATGTTACTCCCCACTTCATAGAAGAGGGAACCGGGGTTTCCAAATAAAACAGACAGGGTCCTGCCCTTGAGACACTCAAACAGTCTGGCAGCCTGGGAGGAAGTCTGATCTGGGTGAGTAGAGAGCAGAAATGAAGAAGTATCTCCTACAAGAGATGCTTCTCATGACAGGAAGGAAGGGCGGACCCCCGAACAGAACCTGAGCTTGCAGCTCCACCTTCCTTTGCCCTGGCTGTCTGCTCGGGGCAGATGACCAGAGTGGGCCCGCGGCAATAAGGACAGGTCAAGGAATGCCCTTGGGGCTCCTGCCCAAATGGCCAGCTCTTCCCAACAGCCCTGAATTCAGGCCCATAAGGACCACTCTACTCCCACCTCCCTTCTGGCCATCACAACCTGCCCACAGGAAAGGACCTGATGACAGTTTGAGCTGCCTCTGAGTGCATGGATGCCAGGGCCCTGCAGAGCATTCAGACTGGAAGCAAAAGGGAGTGTGGCACAAGGAGAGAAGATGCGCCTGCATGTCAGAGGGGCCCAGGGAAAATCTAGACTCCACCACTTACAGACTGCGACATTCACTCGCTCACTCCATGAGCCCACTCACATTAACTGAACACCTGCTATGTGAATCACTGGGACTCAAAGGGAACTTGCCCTCAAGGAGGGGCACCTCATGGAGATGCTGATTAGTGACAGATAAAAATGTTAGAACTGCACTGAGAAAAGAAGGGAGAGAGATATACAAGCATCATACTGTGCACAGCAGCTCTGACCTCATCAAGGTTCCTGGGGAGAAGATGAGTTGACACTGAGGGGTGAGTTAACCTGGGCCCAGAGCTGTATTCCAGGCAGAGGGGGCAGCAGGAGCAGAGGCCCCACGGAGGGAGAAAGCATGAGGTCTGGAATAGAAGAAAGCTGATGGCCTGAGGCCTAGCACAATCTTCCTGTGTCCAAAAAAAAAAAAAAAATCAAACCTGAAACTTATCAAGACTCTAGAGCTAATGAGCAATTAGTGAGCAATGGTGAGCACCACCACAGGGCTGCGATCAACAAAACCCTAACTCGGGAAACCTACAGTTCAAAGGGCCAAGCTTCCTCAACAGCAATGACAAAAACACAAGGAGAGAAGAGCAATACGGAGGAGGAACACACAGATTAAAAGAGAATTAAGAGACCTATCACCCAGCTGCAATGGATGTATTTCATTAGGGTCCTGACTAGAGCAAACCAACAACAAAACAAAGCCAACTGGAGAAAACAGAACACTGCCTGGAATTTGATGATATTAAGGAGTCACCGTTAATTTTTCAGGTGTGACAATGGTATTGTGAATATCTTTTGGTGAGAAATACTGAAATATCTATGAATGGAATAATATCATGATTTGGATATGCGTCCAAACAACCTGAGATGGGAAGAGACTGAAATGAGCATGAATGAAGTAAGAACGACCCTGAGTCGATGACCGTGAAAGCGGAGTGATGGGGTTTCATCCAGTGATTCCCTCTGCTCTTACAGATGTTTGAAGTTTTCCCCTTTTGTTGAAAGCGAGTGGTGAATCAGCCGTAAGCGGGGACGGGATATTGATAACGCAGACAAAATGCATGCTAAGAACTACTACAAATTAGTAAGAAAAACATAATCCAATAGCAAATGGGCTGAGACTGTGAGAAACAGATCACAGAAGTGAAACCCAAACAGGCAAGAAGCAAATGAAAAGATGGTCCACCTCACTGTGGTCAGAGAAACACACATTAAGAAACACACATTAAAACCACCTCACGCCTCAAAACGTTAGGAGAAACGTGAGAGCGTCAGCAGAAATTCTTGCCCGTGGACAGAGGGATCATAAGTAGGTACCTCTACTTTATAAAAGGGCAAAACGTAGCAAATTTTGAGGTAGGGGATATAGCTCAGTGGTAGAGCACATGCTTAGCATGTACAAGGTCCCGGGTTCAATCCCCAGCACCTCCATTAAAAATAAATAAATAAATAACCTAATTACCTCCCCCTCAAAAAACAAACCAAAACAAGAAAATGTTTTTTAAAAAACTCAGCAAATTTTAAACCACCACACTGTATAACTCAGCAGTTTCACACTTGGGTCTTGACCTTAAGGAAACATTTGTGTAATGGATGTAGGAAGTGATCATAAGTGGCTATTAACATCAGAAGAGGAGAGACAAGCAGACATAATACATCTCCTGATAGAAAATACCATAAAACAACAGTTACGTTATCAGCAAAATTAAATCTGAATCCAAGCCCCTAGATCCAAATGCCAATTTAAAGAAATGCAGGGAACAGAGGAGCATTTCAGATAGGACTGCAGAGGTGCCATCAGCAGATTTCAGGTGGTGAAATGACCTGGTGTCTTCAGTAAGTAAATTGGAAGAAAAAGAGAGATAAAGAACTCTCCAGACAAAAAGAAACATGAGAGCAGTCAAATACACAGAGACCGAAAGTAGAATGGTGGTTTCCAGGGTTGGGGGAGTTAGTGTTTCATGGGCACAGAATTTCAGCCAGGGAAGATGAAACGTTCAGGAGATGGATGGTGGTGATGGTGGCAGAACCATGTGAATGTATTTAATGAACGTACAACTGTACACTTAAAATGGCCAATTTTATATTAGGTATATTGTACTATAATTTAAAAAAGTTAAAAAAAAGTAAGAGACACAGTCAGTTACAACATATGTGGACCTCACATAGATCCCAATTCAAAAAACACTATAAAAATTATGAGACAGTAAGAAGTTTGAACCCTGATATTTGCTAGTATAAAGGAACTACTGACAACGGAAGGGTGACGATAATAATACATTTATGTTTTGTTGAGTTTTAGAGATACATATTGAAATGTCTAGAGATGAAATAATGTTGGGTATTTGATTCAAAACAATCAGAAAGCAGGTGTTGATAACTTGAAGTAAGACTGACCGTGACTGGTAACAGTTCAAGTGAACAATGGTTGTGTGCGAGTGCATTACACTAATCTGACTACCTTCGTACATTTAACGTTTGACATAATAAAAGTTATAAAGCAAATAAGAAGTTATCACAAATGTGCACAAAAGGACAAGATGTTCTCAGCAACAAGGGTTGCAAAAGCAAAATACTGGAAACAACCTAAATGCCCACAAACACACGACCAGATTTAAAACACTGCAGTATTTCATTCAACAGAGGACTAAAGAATTGAAACAGGGAAAGAACTAGATCAGGAGTTCCCAGTCAGGGGCGATTTTGCCCCTCAGGGACACTGGGGACATTCTGGTTGCCATGACTGGGTGGGGTGCTGCTGGCCTCTAGTGAGAAAATCAGAGATGCTGCTAAACATTGCACTGTGCACAGAACAGCCCCCACGGCTTTGAGCCCCAACGAAACGGCTCAAAGTATCAAGAGTGCTGCAGTTGAGAAACCCTATGTTGGATCCACGCGGGATGGTCCTCAAATCCCAACACTGAATAAACATGAAGACTAACAAACACAGGCACACACGGGGCAAACAGGCATGTGCAAGTAATACCACGGAGGTAGAAGTTACACAGAACTACATTTATCTATGTAGTAATGTATGAAAATAGGGAGGAGAAAGCTTTATGCCAATTTCAGAATATGGATTATGGGCATGGGGGGAGGCGTGAAATGTTGCCAAGGGGGCTCTGATAGATTTCACAGCATTGTATGTTACTTCCTTTACCCCCTCCCACCCAAAGAAAAGCAAACACGGTGACAGCTAATGTTTGTAAACTCTGGATGGTGGGTACGTGGATGCTCCCTCTTCCAGTCTCTGCACTCTCCCATACCCTGAGCATTGAACAAACGAAACGGCGGGGTTGTGGGCAGCCAAATGGCATGGGCAGAAGGGCAAGGCCGGGGCCTTCCCGGGTGGGAGCACTCACCGGCCCCCGCAGGTCGATGAGCTCCTGCCTCATCTGGGACACAAGGGCTTCCTTGGCCACCAGGGCCCGGTGCAGGCGCTCGTTGAACTCAATCAGCTCCCCGTGCATCTCCGCCACCTGCAACACACAAGCACCGAACAGTGAGGCTCAGGGGGCAGACCCTCCCCATGTCTTGTCCCCACGCCTTGTCCCACCTGCTTGCAGCCCATCACTTGTCAGCAAGGCATCGGGAGGTTGCTGGGATGGGAAGAGTAACACTGCTTACCTACATGCTATGCAAATCCACTCTGAGTTGAATACGTTTTTGACTTGGTTGATTTTAACACTATGGAATCAACGGTCCACAGTTACGGTCAGAATACGACTATATCAAGTCATTTTTTGACTCTAGGCTTTTGTTCTTAAGACACGAACACCTTCCAGGCAAAGGCTCTCATCTGAGTTGTACCTGTCAAGAACTTCCCTGCTAATGGCACAAGGAGAATGACTAATTGTTTCTGTTCATGAAGGCTTCGGTTCTGAAAACCAAGAAAACCGAACCAGAGGCTTGTTGAGGATGGTGATGGTGACAGAGCACAGCAGCAGGACAGCCACCCAATGGCTGCTGCTCACTCTACGCCAGGAGAATACTTGAGGCAGGTACTGTTATTCCTGCCTCCCAGAGAGAACAATGTTGGAGGTGTTTAAGGGGCTGGCTCGAGGTCATACAGCTAACAAAGGGCTGACTCTGGAGCCCTGGCTCTTGTCCACTGGGCTACGTGTCACAACCCTGCCATCCCACTGTGCCACTCACTCAGGCCCGATGAGCCCGTGAATTTTTCCGCATTTCAACACTCTTGGCTGATCCCAGATAAAAATGGAGGTTGCCATAAGATAGCCTATGACTGACGTACAGAGACAACAGATCTTTCAGGCTGGAACTTACAAACAGCACAGAAGTATCCCATACGGTCAAAATATACAGTAATTTCTCTGATTACAGGAGCAACCTTATGGGGGCTTAAAATCGAATTCAACTGTAACTTATTTAAACACTTAAGAGAAATGTAAGATATAATCTTACCATGCTCGTCAGGAACGCCAAAAGAAGAATCTGACAAGCATCTTAAAGAAAAGCCCCCCAACCCCGAATGCGGAGGTCAGGCAGACCCCTCCCAGCCCCCGTCTCCCTGCCCTTCCCAAGAGATCACCCCTCCCATACCCCAGACTTCAGCCAGGCACTCACTAAATTCTACATAATGCATAAATAACATTAGACCATTTGTAATAAGTACTCCACATGAACTATAAAACATACTGTCAGAATAAAGAAAGGATAAAAGGAGAACTTTTGTAAGGGAAAAAAAATTATCTACCCGAGTCTTGATTCCTCAAGAGGACTGAAGGGAAGTCCTTTTATTTTATTTTATTGGATATATTATACCAAGGGTAAAAGGCATAGGAGGAAATACACTAAGATATTAACATCAAAGAGTATTTTTTTCTTTCCACTTTTCCTACTTTTCCTTATTTTTCAGTTCCCTAATAACGAGCACTCTTCCATTTATCAGAGAGAATAACCACTTAGACTCTTTAAAGGAATTAAAATCCTTCACCTGAAACTAAAGGGAGCCGGGTGCCATCAACATGAAATTTATCAGGCTCCCAGCTATAACCCTGATGCTCTCATTAATTTGCTCAGTGAATCTCCACCCAAATGGCATTCCCTTTGTCACTCAGGTGCCCACCTTCTTCAAACCAGTGTGAAATGCAAAGTGAATGGCACAAAAGACATTGCAAGAACCATGCAATTAACAAATGTCATAAGTGAATAACTCACTGAGCGTTTTAACCAGTGTTTTTTGTCATACATACGTAGCTAAAATGAATATTCCCCGGTTGCCTCATTCCTTTTGTAGGAAAAAGGCTTAAGACGATCTTTTGGCCTTTCACAAACAAATACAACATCACTTATACACCACTAACAATGCCTGTTTGACTCCTCCACACAGAAATCACATGAATTCTTCGCGAGCTTCCTTGAGGATAAGACTCCATTTACCACACAGTAAGCAGGAAACGCATACCACTGCCAATATCATCGCTAAATACCTGCTAATGTGCCCCCACAAAATGCAAGCTTAAATAAATGCCACTGTCATTTCCAAAGCAAAACAGGGTTTTGCTTTGTTTTTGTTTTGTTTGGCAGGGGAAGCCAGAGTGTTAAAACAATTTTCCATAAATGCATAAAACATTGAAACATCCCAGCTTCAAGTGGTGTTTATCACGAGCTGTCAAAACTCTGGCTCTTTTTTTTTTTTCCAGCCAGAGAGTAACTTGACCACATCAGACAAAGCTTTCTTTGCACAAAGGAATGGGGGAAAATATCCTATGGAACCAAGGAGACAAAATCTGAGGAAACGATTTCCAGCAGTCATTACAGCTGCAGTGCTCACTGTTACTAAGCTCCAGAACTCCGAATTTCTACATTACATAACCCTGCATGCAGTCATTGATATTAACAGCTTTCATCTTACATAAACCCTACTGAGTTTGCTATTCCTTGAATAACTCCAAACTCTAGCGTACCTAGACATGAATTCAAGATTCAGAGAGCCTCGGAAGAGAAATTTGAGATCACAAAGATTTCCCATTACTATGAAAATAAAAGCAGGCTGCATACGAACTGCCTGCTGGAATTTCTGTGAGGCTCTTGAGGGTACTTACAGATTTCATCTGACTTTCCCTCCTTATTTTCAATAGCCGCAGGTATGGGATAGACAGGTGCTCTCCAGTCTACCCTGCACGAAGCAGTAAGGGGGATCTTCCCAAAGCAACATCTGACATTGTCACCTGCTGTTTAAAACCTTCAATGCTTCCCACCACCCTAAGGATAAAAATCCAACTGCCTTCAAGATCTGGCGCCGGCCTCTCTCCGGCCCACTGTTTCCTGCCCTCTTCCTCTTGTCATCTCGCCTAATGTCACTCAGCCCCAAGGGTCCTCTATGTTCCATAAATATACTGAGCTCTAGGAGGTCACCCTATGGACAAAGAGGAGAAAGGCACGTTCAGCAGAGGAAATGGCAAGCGCAAAGGCCCGAAGGTTGGCAGGGAGACAGCTGAGAGAGACGGCTAAGGGCTCAGACTCCGGGGCAAGACAGCCCTTGGCTTGATCACTTAATTGTGCTGGTCTTGTGCAAGTCACTAAACCTCTATGAGCCTGAAGCCTGTCACATGCAAGATGGGGATTAAAAACCATGCTCACTTCATGGGGTCACTGTGTGGATGAAACGAAATGCTGCACTTAGCAAGCTCGGCACTGTGTCTGGGCATAGCAAATGCTCAATGAACAGGAGCTGGTTTTACATGATGCATGATCACATGAAAGGGACATGAAAAAGGAGGATAGGCAGTCTCCAGAAGCCAGATGGAAAAGGGCCACGTGTGCCCTAACAAGTAGCTCAGACAGCTGTGGAGAGAGACTCACTGGCCCCCAAAGCAGGAACATCACCTGCCAGGCACTATTTCCAGTGCTGGGGGCAGGAAAGTCATGGGGTTCACATCCTAGAGGTCAGAGCTCAGGGAGAGAGGAGGACTTAGAAGGCAGGGTGGCAGGAAAGGCCTCCCCCAGAGATAACACTCAGGGATTCACTTCTCTTGTTGGCCTTGACAAATACCAAGCAGTCTCCTATGACCATGCCCTAAGTCACAGCCAGGCACTCAGTGTGTTCCAGCACCATCAACGCTCGGGGCAACTTTAAAAGTCTGCTGTATAAAATTAATCTTTTTGGGGGGGTGGAAGGATTAGGCTTATTTGCTTATTTATTTATCTGTTTAGGTACTGGGGGTTGAGCTCAGGACCTCATGCATGCTAAGCAAGCACTCTACCCTCCCCCTTTGAAAACTGAAGGCAGTTAAGGAGGAGGTGCCATTTGACAACACTAATGACAGTGACAAGTCAGGAGGTACACTGACCACAGGGGATGCAGCTTCAAACAGAGCCCAACATGGGCCAAGGGATGGGGAACCGAGCCCTGATTCTCTCAAAGGCCCAAGGAGAGCACCTGGATGGTGGCAGATGTAGTTCCTAAGTTGTGTCCGGAAGGTGCACAACTCATGAGCTAATAAGGCATAAATGCTTATCATTTGGGTTTCCTCCGTTAGGCTGGAGAGAAGATGGCAGAAAGATTTAAGACGTTTAAGTCACAAGGCTATTTGCCAACATCTGCCAACATCCCCTGTGGCTTAGCAAACCCCTGCTGGGGAGTTAGCCTGCGCCTCCACTTGCACACACACTCAAGCAGGAGTTCAGCTTCAGGTGTCTGGAACCCACCTACATACCCAACCACAAGGGACTGGTGAAACCTATCAGGTTCCATGATTCTCTTACTGCCTGCAGCTTGGCAGACATCACTAGTCAATCACTGCTTCCTTCCTCCAGAAGACGCCCAGGCAGCCGTGATCAATCGATCAGCATGCTGGCCTCCAGGATGACTCCTATTTAGTATCCCTGGTGTAAGGGATGGGGGGAGACGTCATCAAGAAAGTGATACTTTAGTTGGGTTTTGTAAGATGATGCCTTTGGAGCTTCAGGAGACTGAGCAATCCCTTCCAGCTGGAGCATCAGTGAAGATGATCTCCAAAAATAATGTGTCTGTGAAAAAGCTTTTAAGTCAGTGAAAATCCCAGGAATTATCATAATTACCTGCCAAATCATGAAAAGATTATAAGTTTAAAAAAAACAACATGCCTCTGGCATTTCCTTTCATATCAGAATGTTCTATCTAATCACATTCAAGTAAATCATGGTTTAACCCTCCTTTGGCTACCTAATTAGACACTTCCTGACTAATTAGATCAAGATATCCCCAAATTTTAATAGCAACCGAGGTTCTTTTGGTCACATACCCAAACTCCAAGAAGGTTCACTTGATGCCTGAGAATCTACCTAATTTTTAAAAAACTCATATGCTGTTTGTGGGTGCCATTGAGAGTGGCTGTGGGGAGGGACCCGGAACCTCCCTCTGTGGTGATGACACTGCACCTGCCCAGGTGAAGACAAAGCCCTCACTGGTGCTCACCTGCCTTAACACACTTTGGAACACTAACTACAGACCAGGCCTCTTCTGGGCACTGCA